TCTCTTGATGCTTTCTGCGTCATTCAATAATTTGCCAGAGAGGGTAAGGGAATTCAGGAATTGCACATTTTTTATGTATGATGGCAGGGAATGTGTTACTGACAATTAATTCTCCAGAGCATCAGTCCTCAAGAGTTTCAGTCAGTCCTGTAAACATAATCTGAAGCATTTAATGTGTGTCAGACACAGTGCTAAGACCTGGGAAACATAATTTGAGCTGATGCATAATCCCTTCATGAAAACCTGAAAAATAAACCATTGATTACTATGGAGAATAGTAAGTACATTAGTAATTGAGTCTATAATGGGAGCTACAGAAGCCATACAATTAAGTCAGAGCCCTGGAGGGTGGAGGCCAAGTAAGGCTCCTACAGCCCCGTGATTTTTGAGCATGACAAGTGTGAGAAACTGTCACGCAGAGCTGAGGCAGATTGACTGACATTTGTGGGAGCAATGAGTAGAAGTTAGATGTTAAGTGGTTTTGTGTTCTAAAATAAGGACTCGAATTTTTTTCTGAATGAATGAATGAAGGGTTTTATGAAGAGAAGTGATGCTTCAAGTTTTTTTAAATTTTGGATAATAACCATGGCATTTGCTTGGCTGACTGATAGGTGGTGGTGACAGATTCAAGGCTGTAAGACCTACTAGACTTCTGCTGCAATATTGTGAGAGGAAAAGTAAGACGGGCCACAGGGTAAGCAGAGAGGAGCACATGCATGAGGCCCAACAATCCATCACAGGCTGCTGACAAGACACAGGATGACTTGTGGGCTCCTGGCTTGAGAAATACAAAGTATTGGAGGAACAAATTTGGAAAAATATGATTTTATGGGGAAGAACACTGTAGCTTTTTCCCATTTATCTGGGAAAGTCCCAGAAATATCTTATCATAAAAACCACGAAGAAGTGGTCTCATAAATACCATGTTACCTCAACTGTGATTTAAACTCTACCCTTATAGGTAGACAGAATAATTTTAGATATCCCCTAAGCATAAGCATCCTGGTGTGTGCCCTAGGACTGCTAAGCACACAGTCAGTGATTCAAACCCACCAGCTGCTCCTCAGAAAACCTCCACAGGTTTTCAAGCTTATGGTCCCGCAAATGATAGATATTTAAAGATTGAGTTCCCTTGGGCTAGTAAGTTCCTTATGGTCAGTAATTGCTGTTAAGTAACATGGATTCAGTTTTGACTCATAGTGATAATTGTATTAAGTGCCGTTGAGTCGGTTCCAACTCATATTGACCCTGTATACTGTTTCCAAGAGCAGCTGGTACATTTGAACTGCTTACCTTGTGGTTCACAATCCAGTGCTGACCCTACAATGGCACATCAGGAGTCCCATAGAACTAACACCGTTGTTGTTGCTGTTGTTGTTAACTGCTGTCGAGTCATTTCCAATCCACAGCCACCGTGTATAGGTTTCCAAAGATCAGCTGGTGAGCTTGAACTGCCGACCTTGCAGTTCAAATAACTTTTCAATCCAGCACATTAACCCACAATGCCACACCATAGTGTTAATGGGGAACATTAAATACCCCCCAAAGAAGCTACAGATAAGGCCTCTTTCCCCAATGCAGACCTACTTTCTAGGAAGGACTGTAACTTCAGCCTGTATGTATGAGAGGAGTTCTACACCTCACACTGTGTGGGTTACGCATTCCAAAGCAGCTTCTCAGCTCAGAGTGGATTGAAGCAATATGACCCATTGTTTCTAAGGACCTAACCTGTGGTTTATCATTCCGTACCCTCTTGAATGGTATTCTCTCAGGTGTGTCTCCTTAGTCAGTGCTATGTGTCCAGCATAACTTTTATGGTATAACCCTTGTCCTTCTAAACCTTGTTTCACAAATCAGTGCATCTTCTTTGGGGGGTGCCCCAGAGCAGCTCTGGACCCTAATGTAGCACCTCAGTAGGCCATGATGGACATGTATCATGCTTAACCAAACCCAGTAGGACCTCACCACCAACACAAGCATGGTGCAAGAGAGTTGAGGACCATCGCTGAAGGAGGTGAGTTTCTGTCAGCCTGGTCCTAAGCATGTGGCACTTCTGTGGGAAATGGTTTTCTAAATCTGGCACGGAGGTGTAAGAGAGCTGATGAGGTGAGTGATGAAGCTAGCCTCTCCACGCTATGATTTATAAGTCCGGGCACCACAGGACTCAGGAAATTGCAATGCTAAGACCATAAATGATTCATATTTTCCAGTATGTAAAACATGCTTATAGTCGACTCACTGAAGTTAATGGCAAATAAATTGCCAGAGAATCAGACTCTGATATAAGTCAAACAAATGCTTCACTGTGCAGCAAAGGCGACAATCATTCCATGTGACTGGGTCCAAGCATATCACCTCACCAGTACAACACATGAACCTTCTTTGCTGTCAGTGATAGCCATTTGAATGGCTATCACAAACTTTCAAAACCATTTTTCTGACAAGCTCATCTGGAGAGAAAACAGCAATTGTTGTCTGTTAATTACCTGCCACTACTATTCTGTGGAGCCCTGGTGTGGCACTGTAGGTTAATGTGCTGGACTGCAAATTCGCTTGAACCGCAAAGTTGTCAGTTCAAGTTCACCAGCTGCTCCTCAGAAACCCTATGCAGGGTTGCTATAGGTTGGAACCAACTCTACAGGACCTAACAACAACAACAATTATGCTGTGTCCTAGCACTTATTCTTGAAGAATAACGCAACCACGGCAATAACACAAAATGGAAAGGGGAACATTTCTAGTAGTAGAAACAACAATCTCTCCCCTACTGTTAATTCCACTGGGCCAGCCACTCCCATAGTTTAAAGCAGAGGTTGTAAACTACAGCCCATAGGTCAAATCCTAGTGTTTTTGCACAGCCCACGATTCTGTATTATTTAGATGATTAGGAGAAAAAAAAATCTATAGAAAGATACTATTTTATGACATGTGAAAATAGTATGAAGTTCTAATTTTAGTGTGTATTAAATAGTTTTATTGAAATATAGTTTTGCTTATTTGTAAATATATTGTCTATAGTTATTTTATGATATAATGGCAGAACTGAGTATTATGATGGATGGTAAGACCTTCAACCCCTTTGTAGTGAAAGTCTGCCAACGGCTGGCTGAAATTACGATGGCCCAGCTTGATACAGCTGGGACTAGTGAAATGCATGATAGAACCAACTGTCCTCAAACACCTCATGGTTAAGTCAGTGTCCAAATAGCCCATTAAAAAAAATAATAAAACTCAACTAAACCCACTGCCTTAGAGTCAATTCCAACTCAGAACTGCTCCTTAAGGTTTCCAAGACTAAATATTTACAAAAGCAAACAGCCTCATCTTACTCCCATGGAGCAACTAGTGGATTTATACTATTGATCTTGTGGTTGGCAGCCCAATGCCTTACTCACAGTGCCACTGGGGATCCTATTATTAGTCACTTTATTATCAGTCATTAGCACTTTCCAAAACCCATCACCATGGAGTTGATTCCAACTCATAGCTTCCCTATAGTGCAATAGAACTACCCTACAGAGTTTCCAAGGAGGAGTCCTGATGTGGTGCTGTGGGATAAAGCACTAGACCAAAAGGTCAGTTTGAACCACAAGGTTGGTGGTTCTTCAAAGTCACTAGCTGCTCCTATATCGACCCTGTATAGAAAACCCTATCCAGGGTCAATTTGAGTTGAAACTGACTCAATGATACTTAACAACAACAATCTTTATGGAAGCAGACTGACACATCATTCTACCATTGACTGGCTGGTGGGTTCAAATCATCAACATCGCAGTTAGCAGCCAAGCGCTTAACCACTGTGTTACCAGGAAACATGATTTGGGGATGGAGCACAGAATCAGTAAGGGGTGGAAGTCAGTAAGAGAATGGTTTCAGTAAACTCTACAGAGGGCACAAGAACCCCATTTGCACTAATTCACATGATTCCTAGGCCATGAAATAACTTTAGGAGGGTGGGTCGGGTGGATGAGAAGGGGAAGGTTCTGGTCCACACTTCATGTGATAATGTCTCATCAAAGTCTTCCAATATTATCATGAAGGTTTGTCAGTATCTGAGTAAACTAGATGTCACCCCCACTAGTTACTTAGAAATGTTTTTCTGGGCCAGAATGTCCAGGCCTTCAGAGGACTAGGGCAGTTCTAGTGGACCCCAGGGCAAGATGTGAAGGTTTCAGTGCAATCCATATAATCCCAGACTCGTCTAAGGCCACCCAGAGTAATCTGAACATGACCCCTTCATTTTGTCTTTTACTTTCTACCTCCTTGCCTCCTCTCCAGCTTGAGAACGGTGGCCTGAACAGGACATGAAGATTAAAGGCAGCAATAGGCAAAGGAGCCTGCTGAAGAGTTGGGTGAGCCCCTGAGGCTGATCTGTGGCTTGCAGACTCCAGCAAGCTCAGCCAAGGACAACAGTAACTCCAATACACACTAGAGTTCTGGGGCTACAAAAAGGATGAAATGACACCCCAAATGACAGCAGAAACAAACCTGGACAGAAAAGGGAAAGAGAAGAGCAAGGGTAAGGACAGGGAAGATGAACTAGGCAGAGCAGGTGGAGCGATTCGGGAAAGCTGGCTCATTCAGGCTGCATTTACTGGATAGGGCATTTAGGAAAACGAATTTGAATTCTGTGACTCTGATGTCATTTCTTTAACTGCATCAGCACAACCTTAAACAGAGCAATGCCTTCTCCTTTCCTCCATTACCCTTTTGGCCAAAATTGTTTAGTCTAGGAGGAATTAACAAGTTGCTAGAATAAGAAAGCGGAGCTGTGAGGGAGTGCAGGGAGGGGGTGAGATACTGTATCCAGCAGCACACATCTCTGCTCTGCTTTTCCTGGCAGCCGGGTCATCCTGCTTTGTGCAATAGGTCACAGGCACGACTTGTTGTGACTGAGCTCAGAGCACAGTTTAGGCTTGGCTACTCCAGGCTGGGAGGCAGGAAGACGCAGACAGCAGTTCTGCTTTTGGAATAACAGAACAGTGTTTAAGTGTCCTTACTGTTCGGGTTTATCCAGCAACTTCAATTCTTCTTCTTTGGATGTCTCGTAATACTTTTTTATTTTAACCAATTCATCTTCTTGGGCTCTCTGTTGAAACAGGGTTAAAAAAAGAAAAGGCCAGTGAGAATCTGTGTAAAGCAGTGGGTCTTAAAGTTTGGTCACTTGACCCCTAGCATCAGCAGCACCTGTCATGGTAGAAATGCAAATTGTCTAGACCCCAGAGGGTAAAAATTCCAGGGGTGGGCCCAGCAAGCCCTCTGGGTGATTCTGATGCATAGGACAGTCTGAGGATCTCTGCTCAGAAGCAAATGGTCCTAACAAGTGAGGCAGAAGGCAGGGCATTTGATGTTATCTTGGAATACACTGACTTCCACTGTGAACATATATGGAATATGCTGTCCATCGTATTTGCTTCCTTAGTCTCAGACAAGCGCTGCTAAATCACATTTGTTATTGTTGTTGGTAAGAGCCACTGAGTTGGTTCCGACTTACAGTGTGAGTGACCCTATGTAGGGTTTCAAAGGTTGGAACCTTTGACCTTGCAGTTCAAACTGATCTTTCACTCCAGTGCTTTATCCTACAGTGCCACATCAGGAGTCTGCTAAATACATAGACCCTCAATTATTTTCTTTCTAGTCACCCAACTTCCCTTTTTTCCTGCATTTTGAAAACACTCATATTGTATGACTTATTTTGGCATACTTTCTCAATTTGTCCAAATAACTCAGTTATGTGCAGTTTACCTCTACTATGAGTCAACACGTAATGACAATGAAGATGGTGCTGAACTCATGCACCAGCATAGCATATCTAGAAGACTTTCACAAAGTCCCTTCACATCTACAGCTTGTTTCATCCCCATTTTCTAGATAATTCTAGGAGAGCTTGCTCTAATAAAGTAAAAACCTCACTTTCCCCTATGATACAGGAGTACCTGTGCTCCAGGTACTCCACAAATGTATTTCCTGTCACCTGATACTTGTGTGCCACTTTTGTCTATTATTGGAAGCCTCACTAATGGAAATATGTGACAAGTTCCCACCCAGACATACTGGTGGCACAGGATTAAGCCTGTGGTTGCTAACTGAAAGGTTGGTGGGTTGAACCTATCTAGTGTGATACTCTAGAGTAAGCACTGGACTGCAAGATTGATTTGAACTGCAAAGTCAGCAGTTCGAATCCATCAGTCACTCCATCAGGCCTATACAGTGTCTTGGCAGCACTTAACAACAACTGGCTCCAAAGAAGGAAGACCAGGCAATTTGCTTCCGTAAGATCACAGCCAAGATCCAAGATATACCATGGGATGACTATGAGTTGAAAATCAACTGCAGGGCCTACAACATCATAAATAAAGGATGTGAGAATGTGCCAGGAATTGATAATACCATCAGGCGTGGACTAGTGAACTATAGACATCGTCTATAAAATATCCTTAAGGTACCAGAGAACCACAAGTAGCAAAATAGATCACTTTTTTAGTTTGGTGACCAAAGTCTACCATAGCTGCCAGGGCAGCTTCTTGAGAAATATCATTATTTAAGAGGAGGATCTGGCTCAGTCTATGTTTTCACATCTTACTAGTATACCAGAACAAGTTACCAGTCACAGGGGTACTGACTCTCCTACATCATCTTCTCAAGAAAACCTTCAACATATATAACCCAAATCAACATATCTTTTATGTTTACAGTGCTTTTTACTTTTCAAAACACTCTGCTGCTGATTTATGTATTTATTTATCTTTTAGTACTCTTTCTCACATATAAATCCATAAACAATTAGGCAGAATCCATTATACTCCTACTGTGTGACCATCAAACAAACAGGCTTAGAGAGCTTAAGTAGCTGATCCAAAGTCACTCAGCAGTCAATGGTACAGTTGGACTTCAAACCTAATTTCCCAAACACATACCATCTTCCTACACTGTTTCCTACCTTCAATGCCATCAGCTTATATGGTGTGCAGTAATCATACAAGCTGGTGAATGATTATTCTCAAAAGGAGACATAGGTGGATATACGGACATTGATCAGGGAGCTTAACTTGAATATTAAGTCATACGCTGGATTCCATGTCATATGAGTGGTAGCCACCTTGAACCACCTTCCCCTGCAGGTGTGCAGTGAGATTTACTAACCCAGATCCACAGTGGGAGCTAAGAATCTAGTACTTTGCTCATGTCTCTGTAGGATAAGCACTGGACTGCAAACCACAAGTTCTGCGGTTTAAGCCCGCCAGTTATTCCACAAGAGAAAGATGAGGCTTTCTGCTCCTGCAAAGAATTACAGCCTTGGAAACCCTATATAGCATTGCTATGAGCCAGAAACGACTTGACAACGCTTAACAACAACAAAGTCTCATTCAAACTTGTGTTTCTGAGCTGATATTTAGGATGCAAGGTCAAAATCCTTACTACCAAAGACGATGAATGGCTTAGTGATTTTTCAAGTGGAAGGAATCACATAGAATCATTTTTAGATATGAACTTTTTTATTGGTAAATATATGGACTATGAAAACTTCAGCTTTGTTTGTATTTTGACACTCACGTTTTCATACAAGGCTGCCAGCGTCTCCAGGTCGACCACAGAATCGTCCACATTGAAAATAGCTGCCAGAAAGAAGACAAAAGGAAAATAGATTGGATTAGATTCCCCATACTAGCACTTATTCCAAATCACGCTACCAAGCAATATAACATCACACTTTCTTACACACGTTGTGCCTTTCAGCATGTTCTGGCTCTCCTTCCTTTCGCATCAGGGGGCACAAATGAAAGGAACCAAAATGGTTCCTATTGCTGGCCTGGGCCTGGGCCTGGGCCCCACCCCAGCTTGTTTAATTTCTTATGCTCTGTGTCCTTTCTGTGGTTTAATTTAGGCTCCACAGGAGGAGTGTTTGTGCTTTTAAAACTAAATCAGTTTGTAAGTTTCAAGCACAATTTTAAATCTTTCTTGCCGGCTGGTAATTGAAGAGATTTAGTACCTAATGCACCAGAACCGACTCTTGCCCATTACCAGGAAGAGAGAGAGAAAAAAAGACAATGTTAGCAAATTAAATGAATTCAGGCATGTGATTTGAGGAACCTTTCCACAGCCACTGCAAACAGCTTGTTCGGATTAAAAAGACAAGAAAAAGCAATAATTGCATCAATGGCAAATTAAGATTATGGAAACCTCCCATGAGCCAGTCTTAAGGCAACTTCTCATTCCTTTGGTTTTATTAGGATTCTTGTGGTTCTGTATCTTAAATAAGTCACTTAGCTATTAATTAATATGCATATGATATCATCTCTGGACATTCCTTCCCATATGTACTGGGACACAAACATTGAGATTTTACAACCATAATGGCTTTGACTATCAAAGATGTTTGGAATGGGCAAAGTCCACATCTTTAAATAATTATTCAAAACTAATAAGGTTTGTTCCCTCAACCCTACCTCTCTTCCCCGACTTTACACTGTGAAATTAACCAGCACGCTAGTAAATTTTCTCCGTGGAAGGCTAATTAATTTTATTAAACCAACCAGTGATATTTAGAGAGCCTTAAAATCTTGTTCCCCAACCATTACTCTGTTCATTGGCATTACATCATGCATTTTGTAGAAGGTAGGGATCAAAGTAAATGGTAAGTTGATTTTGAATTGTTTTGCCTCTTCTATAGTTTAGAATAATATGAGTTCCTTTATATCATTTTAACAAAATTAATTAACTGAGCCACGATCAAATATTTGCAGAAGACTGAGAAATGTACTTAAAATTCCTTCACAGGCCACCTTCTCTAGCCTAGGAGTTAATCACCAAACTATCCCTAGATATGTGGTGTTGTAAGAAAAGAAGAGGTTAATATACCAGTGACAAAGTAAGTTGTCTCAGAGTCCACCAAGACAAAAGGAAAATGACACTTCCAAAAAGGACAATCTGAAACCACTAAAGAAGAAAGTAGTCTACAGAAAAATGAGAGAACTTGCCCGCTCAGAACTGTTTTTGTTTGTTTTTTTAATGTGTAGAAATGTGAACTCGTTAATTTATGAGACATATGAGGAGGTTTCAAAAAGTTTGTGGAATGATAGCATGATCTTTTCATTCAATTTTTCCATGAACTTTTTGAAGTCCAGCCCCATAATATATGTTTAAACAGCTAGTCCTAAACCAAAGTAGCCAGGAACAATTTGTATTTCATGGAAATCACAATATTTACTATAGAAATTCAGCCAACAGGAATGCAGTAAGAAAACATAAAATTGTAAAGATAACAGATTTTAAAAATTCCTATCTTAACTAATTCTGCGTCCTGATACATGCTATCCAGTCAGTTCTGACTCACAGCAACCCTGCATAGGGTTTCCAAGGAGCCCCTGGTGGGTTTGAACTACTGACCTTGTAGTTTGATGTCCAGTGTTGATCCTATAGTACCATGCCTGGAGTCTAATTATACATCCTAGGTGCTATAAATTAATTATAAGTTTTAAGACAGATAACCTTCACTTTCAAGAAAGAGAATAATCTGTGGTTCCCTTTTCTCAGTAAGTAACTATTTGGTTTTAAAGAGTGAATCTGTCTGGATCTCTGATACATAGCTGGTAGGTTATATGCTCAATCAGTTTTCTTCCCAGGTACTAGAGAAAAAACACTTAGTGGGTATGGGGCTGGATAGTGAGCATGGACTTTGGAGACATTTACTTACCTTCCTTTTCACTTATCCATTCTTTTAATAAATAATTCTTCAATGTGTACTAAGATCCAGAGACTGTTCTAAAAACTCTCTAGATATAGAAGTGTATAAGGCATGTAAAGTACTTGGTCTCATGGAATCAACATTCCATTCTAGTGTGTGAAATAGAAAAGAAATTAGAGACAATTTCAAACAATACTGTACTATGAAGGACATTGTGCAACATTACACAGGATTGTCAAGAAGACTTCTTTAAGGGGTGATATTTAAGCTAAGACTGAAGAGACCAGTTTGTAAATATCTGGAAGAAGAACATTCTAGGATTAAGTTTTGTGTTTTTCCCCCCCCATAAAGGAACAGAAAAGGGCACAGAAAAAGGCCAGCATGGTTATCATGAAGAGAGCATAAGTGAAAAGACTGTGAGGAAGTTGTGGTGAAAGTATCAAATCCCTCACTTATTGATAGGTTACATTGTCCAAGCTTCAGGGTATCTGTAAAATAGGCCTTGTACAACATACTGAGGGGAGTGAGGTGGCTCCATAAGATAATACTGGACTCAGAATCACAAGGTCAGCGGTTCAAGCCTAACAGCCACTCTGTGGAAGAAAGTTGCAGTTTTCTGCTCCCCTCAAAATTTAAAGCCTTGCAAACTCTATACAAGGTGGTCAAGTGGTTACGAGTCAGACTGCTAATCTTAAAGTCAGCAGTTCAAAACTACCAGCGGTTCCACGGGAGAAAAATGAAGCTTTCTGCTCCCATAAAGATTACAGCCTGAGAAACCCTATGCAGGGTCGCTATGAGTCAGCACCAACTCCACAGCACACCACCACCACCATGCAACAGAACCAACTCAACGGTGGCACTTAAGAACAACCAACACACACTGAAAGTATGAAGTGATGTCATATGTATAAAGTATTTAGTAAAGCACATGGATTATGCTATGAACTCCCTTAGCAAGGGCAAAGAATAAAATAAAGGAGAAAAATATACTCTGTACCTGCTTAGTTTAGCTGGTCGATGAATGCCAACTTTCAAGAATTTTGGAATGTTCAGATAAGAGTTGTTGTTAAGTGCCGTTGAGTCAATTCTGACCCATAGCGACCCTGCATAGGGTTTTTGAGGAGCAGCTGGTGAGCTTGGACTGCTGACCTTGCAGTTCAAATGGTTTTGCAGTCTGCCACATTAACCCACAGCACCACACCAGGATTCCCAGATAAGAGAACGTGTTACTAAAACCTTTCCTTCCTTCAAGACCCCATTCAAGGTCCAGCTTCAGGAAGCATTATTCATTGGAGAACGAAATATACAAATGACTCTAATCACAAAAAATACTGTATCAAGTGTTTTAGGAGAAATATAACTAATCTCTGGCTCCATTGAAGAAAGAACTTCATTTTTACCTCTGGCTTCAGTATTACCCATGAATTCATCCATCATCGTATTGCCAAAGTAAATTTTTCAAAAACAAAACACAAATCTCAAAATTTTTACTTTGATGTTTAGAGTACTTTGGGATACTTTAAATACTGAGTGAATTCTCATCTCCCTGGCCTGATTTTTAAGCTCATTCCTTGCCTGTCCCCAAGCTACACTTCCAAACCATCTTACATCTCACTTCCTCCATCGTGCTTTCTTGTCATATTGGACAATTCCCCATTCTGGTACATGCCAGGGCTTCATTCCTCCCCTCAACTCATCCTCCAAGAGCCACATCAACTGTTTCCTGCATTGTAAGGGGTTCCTTGACCTTGGGATTATTAAATTCTTACTCTTCTCCTCTGCCATGCCATTTCACTCATATTTGACGTAGGGTGAGGGTGGTATATTTTAAGAATCTGTACAATGACATACGCTTCATTGTCTCCCTCGTCCACTGTGAATGCTTATGTATTTTGATAACCCCAACACTGAGTGTAGTATCTGGTGTTTGTTGTTGTTGTTAGATGCCCTCGAGTTGATTCCAGCTCATAGCAGCCCTATACAGGATTTCCAAGAAGCTGCTGGTGAGTTTGAACCACTAACCTTGTGGTCCAGTGCTTCATCCCACAGCACCACACCAGGACTGGGTATTAAACAACTATTTGTGGATGGGATAGATATCACAGGACTCCCATATTTTACTTGGGCTAAGTGTCAAGAAAAGTTTATCAGCAATGAGAATATGGGGATGAGCAGGGGCTGCTACTCAAGGGGCATGGAGTTTCTGTTCAGGGTGATGGGAAAACGACGAAACAGAGAGTGATGATGGCTGCCCAATGTGACACATGAAACTAATGTCACCAACTTTTACATGTAAAATGTTAAAAACGTCAAATGTTTGCTATATATATATATATATATATATATATATACTTACCATAACAATTTTTTTTTTTTTAAAAGAGAGAACATACAGACTTCACAGAAGAATAGGACTTCAGAAAATTAACATATTTTATTACTTGAGGGTGGGTGGGTTGGGAAATATAGGAATTAAGGTTGATTCCTTCCCACCTAGATTTTCTCCTGTTAAGAAAAATCAAGGTTTAGCCAGTAGAGTTGAATAGGTACGTTCTCACTCATATATTCAGTATACTTCAATTTGCCTGAAAAGTCCATACCAAAAAATAATGAAGCGTAATAAAGAAATGTTCTCATTTTTGAAGATTTCCTTTTAGTCTTACCTCTAAAAAAGTTTTTAAATAACATCATGTAAGAAAAAAAATAAGGTCACAAATCAAAGTTCAACTGCTCTACTGCTATAGGCAGATACCTGAAACACACCTTGAATGACCCACATTAATTAAGCCAAGCTCTTTCCAAGCAATGACAATTAGTAAATTTACAATGAGTGCCAATGAACATCAGCTGTAAGACCTTTCAAGCAGAAGCAGCAGATACAGAAATGCTCATGGGATGGTCAGGCAATGGCAGCTAGTCCAGTTTTTGTTT